TAATGCATATTATACGATACGTGTCGATTATTGTTAAGGGTTGTTGTAAATTTGTAATTGTAAATTACATCCGTAAAGTTCCTGTTTTATTATATGTATTATACTATTATTATGTAGGTACATATGTGTATAATTTTTTTTATTTTGTTATTCTAATTGTTGTTTACGATTCTCTTCGGTCTCGCCGATTTAAAAGCATCGGACCATGCAAGGCTGCAGCTCGATACCCCAATGCACTGTGCAGAAAAAAAAATACAACTATAGTTACTAAATACTAGCTCCATACCTGAGTATAGGTATAGGTACATTAATTCGATCCGTTGAATATCGTTTGCGGAAACAATGCTGCGATGTTTCCGAGGGGAAAAATTGCAAAAAAATCATAAACATTGCACTCAACAACAAAACAATATATATATGTATTATATAGTAACGCGCATAATATAGGTATTTGGCCGAATGATTATATTATATCATTGATGTAAAAATCACCTTGACGGAATATCTTTTCCGTCCAGATACTCGCATCATATATATATATATATATATATCAGGTACATATATAGGTATCTAATATATTCACATAGGTACTATAATATAGATATATAGACATTTTATAGTCGAATTCGAATCGGATCTGGTACATTATAGTTTATACATAATTTATATCCTGACTTAAGTAAGAGATTTTGTTATTAGGTATAGTAATATTATATTATTCGTGCCTGTTGTTTGCATTTTTGTTGGAGATCGGCTGGAACTGATCGAATCCGATCTTGATGGACGCAATACAATAGRTAGGTAGATTATGATAATTATATGTAGTGTCCGAATTCTTTCGTATTTACATATTATTTGTTTCGATGTTGGTATACATTAGAACGAGCTTGTTGTTTTAAATGTTATTTCATGACATGCTGTGATCTATAACACGGTTTTCTATTCTATTTTCGTGACTATTTTTGCATAACTACCTATACTTTGAAATACATTTTTAGTTGATAGAGAATTTATTACGAGTTGAACGGCATTATAATAACGCAACTTCATTTTTAGTGTTTCGGAACACGACTTGTTATTTTTAGCTACTTGCGTATTGCGTAATAACTGATAACAAATGGCATATGATATTATTGTTTATTAATTAATACTTGTTTTTTTATTRTAGAATTAAACAGGAAACAACTGTGAACCGAATTTAAATTGAAAATATTTGAGAAAAAATAATCATAAATAAATACACCTAAAATTTTTCATACTGCAAAATTTGTTTACAGTCACTACAGTACAATAAATATAATAATAATACATAATTTTAGAATATTATTAAATTATTTCCTGTGCATTTTAAAATGTATSGAGAAAAGTTAAAGAAATTTAAAATATTGCTAAGGATCCAAAATATAAAATAAACGTTTCAATAAACACCATAATATTATCACATACCTAAAACACGATTTCTATACATACCCAGCAAAGTTATTGTACAGCAGAAAAAAACAAAGTAAATGCATCAAAATCTCAGTCCTATAGTAATAAAATTACCTTAAATATAGGTAGTGGTGTATAGTATYAATAATCGTACTTTTATAGTGTTATAAACTTATAACCAATTACCATTTACCGACGACCATCAAGCATTTATGGTGAAAATTATTCTTTGGTCTTTGTGATAATCAGTAATTGATGAATGACATGAAAAAATAGCCATTTAGGCTTACTTAGGGGTATCTTTAATATTAGATTTATGAACATAATTTTTTTTTACGTTTCTCGTGGATCGTGGTTGTCCGTAACAAACGATACCGATCGTGGTTACTGGTYGCCGCGAACCCGGAGGCAACCAGTTTTCAAAGACTTGCAATCGTTCGAATATTAAACGCGTTCGGCTGTTAGTTGCGACGGCGGCGGGCGTGCGTATACAGCCTCGTCCAATGAACTCTGTAGGCTCTTCTACGCGCAGTCGAAAATCGGATTAAATTTTACGAAATATGAGCRATATAATCACGTCACATGGAAATAATAGTATATTTCAAACGGACACAAATTTCACCGTCGTTTTACATCCGAATCCGATGAGATATGTGCCTATACATAATTTCAACGCTCCTAGTTATAAAATTAAGAATTTATTGTAGGTACTAATATATTATTATTACTCGTTTCGGAGAAATGGAATACGTGTTCGTCGAATTACTAAATCAGAATACGAAAAGAATTATACAAATTTATATTGGACGGCCGATATTTAATATAATAATTATACAGATATACCTAAATAGCGCTACATTATTATTATTATTTTTCTTTTATTATAACATGTATTTCTGATATCACTATAAGATTATATATATAAATTTGAATTATAATTGCAGTTATAGATACAGTTTGTATACTAGTATACTTATATATAAATATACGATTTTGAATTCGAGTTACGTTAAAAAATGTCCCAATCAAATTATCATCTGAATTTAAATTAATTATATAAATAAAAATGTAAATTATATCCACTAATGACTAAACCAATAATATCATTCATAGTATGAATTCTTATGATGTGTTCACGACGTTTATAATGTCTTAATTTCAAAATATTATAATATTATTAYGATAATCATAATTAAATTCTAAATCTAACGATACCTGTATGGTATGTGATACGAATATTTTGGAAAATTCTCATCGWGTATTCAAAAATACCATAAAAAATATTATAATTATTTTGTAATGAGTGAATATTATAATACCTACCTAATCTGAACATTTATAGACTAACATTAGTACATTTGTAGATTTTCATTTTTATAGTAATTTCCTTCAAAATTTACGATACTGCCAACATATTATGGGAAATTATATCTAAACTATCATATTATGGGAATACTATGTTTACCTAGTTTTCAATTGATGATTATAAAATTATGTAATTAATAATTTAGAGCGTATACTATAGTACAATTGATATTATACACATTTTTACCATTCTAAAAATGTTGTCTATAGAAAACATTGAATAGTTTTTTGAACTAATATTTATTTTTTGTTCAACTCATAAGTTATAGTTTTAAATTTTAAATGTTAGTGGATAGTAGAACCTAATCGCATTGTTTATTTCCTTGAGTAATAATAAAACAATAAGAGCGGTAATAGTAATAATAAATTACGGTAGAACTACTTGTATAATTGTGTGATTATTATGATGAACATCGTGTATTTTAATATAACATTTTACCAAATTCAAATTAATTGTTAAGGAAAAAATATTACGAAATCATTCGATAATAATTGTTTGATTRTAATTATTCCACTGGCATTTATTTAATTATTTTTATATTAACATACAAATCGTTAAATTATACATCAAAACTACCTATTAGTTTAAAATGTGCAGTGGATTGAGAAGAATTTCTCAGTATTTAATTTAAACAGCTTGAATGGTTAACTATATAATATGTTTCATTTTCATACTTTATATAGAATATGATATAAATACAAATATATTGTTTTATATTTTCCGCTGTTTATAGTTTTAATTTTTAACACATTCAAATAATAATGTAAAACTGATAAGACATAACAAATTAATACATTTMAAAAAATATTGATTCATCACTTATACAAAACAARTTACAACTAGTGATTTTTCATCATTTTAAAATAAAATAAAAATTATCAACAATGTTGTTTCGGTTGATTAAAAACATGATAATTGTATAATATTAAGTAGCATATTGATTTGAAAAATACTTACTTTGCATAATTAGTGTATCGCATCTAAGCAATAATTTGTATTCACCGACCTTGTAGGGACTCATATAAATTATATGTTATTAGTAGGTCTTATCGTGGTGTTTCATATCACGCGTGGTATATTCATAAGTGGTATTCCGGGGTGACTGTTGAGCCATTGCAGGTTCCTCTAGAGTCTAGACAATAGCTTACACACAATTTGCTATATTTTTAATTATTATTTTCGAGTGTACAAAAATTGATTCGTGTAATCGAATAAAATGTTGGAATTAAAATTTGCGATTTGTTTTACAGTGTGTATTTATTTATAATATTATAATATGCATGACTAACGTGCGAAATTATTGAAAATACTAGTTACAAAAAATCAAAATGGCCTTGATGGTTTGACTATTGATATTGAAATAAGTTTTTGTAAACCACAACTACTTGCATCATCAATATGTATTCATATTTCAACAGACCGTATCCCGTAATGAAAATTTTTTTTTCTCAATATCTATCGCACGTGTTTTGTCACAGTCGTGCTCGTAGGTTGAATTTAAATCAATTTTTTTATTACCGCGGAAACTACATACGAATTTACTGTCAAAATGCATTATTTATTATGATTTATGAAAATTATCGCATTATAAAGGTACCTTTATATAGGTATATATATTATAATACCGGTAGCATTCAATAATAATTCAACATTATTTTTGAAATACTTGACTAAATTATTATTAGATATTTATACCTGTATGGCTGTATGGCTGTATAATATGWTTTGATGAAAAATGGGCCGGATTAGACGAGTATACGGTTAAAGCGACATAAATACTAACACCATCATCGGATCATAATAATATTATATGCATATAATAAACTTATACTTACTTGTTTTACTGTTTCATTAATGCGTTCTTCTTAAATTGTATATTGTATTATAGGTAAAGTTGCCTATACAGAAATATATTCGCGTGCTTACCCGCGGTACGGTCGTGTGTACAGTATTTATTTCATAATTCGTCGTCTGCAACAACACACACGAATTATTGCTATAATAATACTACATATAGGGTGTTCTACTCGTAATTTTATGTTACACCAGACTTTAATACGAAATAGTATATTACTATAGTAACATTGATGTGATGCTGAAATTTACTGTCACATACAATTTGGAACATCCTATATATGTATACACGGCGTACACAAACCCATGTGTTATAGAATTTTTATAAACAGTCGATTTTGTGCGACAGGTGGTCACGTTGTCGTTGTACGCCTATTTCGGTGCCCAGCTCATCGGTGCTCAGATGGTAGAGCCTCCGCCAGAATGGGGTTTCAAAGATTTTAAAGAGTTCGACCTGTACGTACCGATCCTGACGATTATCGAGGTTTGCAGTCTTTCGACATATATTATTATTATTCGCTAATATTGTTATTCATTTTTACAGAGACTTCGCCGATCGTATATAATAAAAATAATATATATTTTTTGTTTTTGAACATCATGTGCCAATATATGCAACTATATATTATTTTTATTATTTCAGTTTTGTTTCTTTGTTGGATGGCTGAAAGTGGCGGAAGTTCTCATCGGACCTTTTGGCGAAGACGATGACGACATTGAGCTTAACTGGTTGATCGACCGTCACATAAAGGTAAATAATACCACCATCGTTATATAAWTATTATCTTTCGCAAAACCTGCAAAACTATAAAAACTGTAGCAATTAGCCGGAAGTGAATAAGCTCAAAATAAATTCTCACAAATCATAATATTTCTATTGTATTGATTTAATTGTATCATATTTTATAATATTATATCATACTTTCTTTTTCACTCGATATAACGATACTTCTTGTTGACATCGGGTTATTACTATTATTATTATTTTTATTGATCAAAATACATCGACAACTAGGCCATTAGTAAAAGAAATTTTTTTTAGGTTACATTTTTAGTATTATAAGTATTTAAATTTTTTACATTAAATTAAATTGTACAATTCTGTTTTTCATCGGATTATTATTATGATGCTTATTTAATATTTTTTWAAAGTTTTAACAGTTTTCTAATAATCAGTATAATAAGTACCTATGCATTTATAACTATATTAGTTACTTAAATGTATACACAGGCACCTACATCAAATAAGTGGTTTGATAGTATAAATAATATAATAAAATACAAACTTGTAGTTTTAAAACGTTTATTCGCCGGCACAGTCCACCACTAAGGTAAATATAATAATATATTTGTAGAAATCGTAACTAATATTAGTGAATAGTATACGTAGCMAACAAAAACTTCAACAATGAAAACAGAAACAATTGAATCATATCGTCTTACTGGTTCATGTAGGTACATATAAACTTAAAAAAAAAATTAAACGAGTTATTCCAGTTTTCGTTTAGAACAAAATACGTGTACCTTCAAATGCAAATTTATTTATATTATACATTTGTTTTCTACAATTTTAAAGCACAAAAATAATTGGAAGACTTTCACATTTACAGTTTACCGTCCATTGAGACCAAAAGCAGATAATATATTAATAAAATAGGTACTAAATTAGGTTTATACCTATTACCTACAAACAAACAGTTGTCATTTGACAAATGTATTCTGAAACTGATGAATGACAGAATAAATGTTGTATGTTTTTTATTTTATTATCGTTAGTAAATAATTTATAACATTAATTAAAAAACATCGCAGCTCGTACAATGCACAATATTCGCGGTTTTCGTTTCTTTTTTGAGGTAAGCACATAAGCGTGACAGAACAAGAGGTCGCACTATAATAATATTATAATGTTCTTTTTCATTTTCGTTTTCTTCGTTCGACCGATGATATTGTCGTAATGCCAAAATTAAAAAAGTTTTAATTAGGGTCAAGGATTTTAATAACAATCATAACCCTTTGATACTCCGATCACACAATTTAAAGATGTTTCAAAATGTTTAATACTTCTAAATATGGTATTGACTTTATGTAATCCAATATTCAGACACATGATCAAACATATAGGTATAGGTATAAGTAATCAATAATGTTATTGACTTATTGTGTACATTTTTTCTTTTTTTTTATAGTCAAGTTTGATTAAATCATAATATATTTTTCCAATTAGACGATTAATATAAAACTTAATGTACACTTATAAACTTTTAATTAATTTTAGATACAACCGTAAGCATTATTAATTAACTGATTTTTCGATAGGTGTATCATTGTTATTATATACTTTTTTTTTCATTTTCTACAAATATTAATAGTAACACATTCTTCGCATAACTCAGAATTTTAAATAACTTATTAAAACATTGACTCTATTTATACTGCACCGTTTTACATAATATATCTTCAATTGTCTTCGAAATGTATTCTGAATAATCGAAAGTTGTAGGTATATACAGGCGAGCGTATTTCAAACGTTGTAATATTTCTATATTTTGTTACTGCTCGACATGGACCTGTATGAAACACATTACTTACATTTTAATAAAAACAAAAATAATTGTTGTAAATTCCGATACCAATTATTCTGTTTATAATAATTTCTAAGCTGCATACACATATATAATATATATATATATTTATGTATATTGTATAATTGTATATAGTTATAAATTAACAACAGCTATCTACCTAGTTGTGTATTATGTAAATTGTCGTTCACGTTGATTTTAAAATCAACATTCATCATTAAGTACCTACTAATGGTACTATAATATTACTTAATGATCCTTACATTTATTTTTAAGCTCTTTTCTTTAAGATAATGATATAGCTGTAGGTATATTTCGATTTTTGTGTTCTTCAGTTCACCGGAAAATCGACTTCAATGTAACTATAGCTTTGTGCCTCTGTGAACTAATTCGGCGAGTATCAGATTGGATATATCATTCGGTATATTTTCGAACATGGTCAAGCTATACAAACTATACCGTGTGTTCAATTTTAAAGGTAACAGGAAATATTTCGAACGCATGACCTTGAATTTGGATTCGGGTTTTTTTACAGGATACAGGACATATAAATACATATTTTTTTGATAAATTTAAATTTTTAACTTTTTTTTTATCTGCACTGCGCAGTAAAATAAAAATTTCTTAAATAGAAACAATTATTTTTGACACTGGATTTGGATTGCTCTATTTTTTTTGAGCAAATTTGATCTTTACAGTTTGTTGATATCTTCAAAATTGACATTTTTATGACTGTCGAAAGTTTTAAATCAGTTAATTCGTAAATATCGCATTTTTCAACGAATAAATTATAATGATATTTTTTTATAAATTCGATGTAATAATAAATACACATTGTAGTTTTAATAAAAATAAATTGTTTTAATAATACCTATAAATGTTTAATTAAGATAGAGCGTTGAAAAATGCGATATTTACGAATTAACTGATTTAAAACTTTAGACCGTCATAAAAATGGCAATTTTGAAGGTATCAACAAACTGTAAAGATCAAAGTTGCTCAAAAAAAAATAGAGCAATCCAAATCCAGTATCAAAAATAATTGTTCCTCTTTATGAAATTTTTATTTTACTGCGCACGCGCAGATAAAAAAAAGTTAAAAATTTAAATTTATCAAAAAAATATCTATTTATATGTCCTGTATCCTGTAAAAAAAACCCGAATCCAAATTCAAGGTCATGCGTTCGAAATATTTCCTGTTACCTTTAAAATTGAACTCACGGTATATAAGTACAATTTGAAATTTTCGTAAAAATTGGTCTAGCAGTTTTTTGAGTAGGTTTATATCTTAAATACATACATATTTATTGTTTATATGCACATATACCTACTACTAACATACATACTATATTATTAGTCTCTTTCATTTCTATAACCAATGGCAACCCTATATGTAAACATTAAAATATTCGATTTTCGATTTTCAAAACGAAATTCAGATTCAGGGTTTTACAAAGTGTGTGTTTGTGAAGTTTTAAACTTTGTTTTAATATTTATTGTAAGGATGGTTTCTATTAAAAAGTTTGTATTGTAATTTGGAATATAGTATACCTACGTACGGATGAGTTGAAACTTCTTTACAGAGAGTATGAAAAAAATTTAACACATTATTAACACGGTTATTTTTTTAGATTTGTTTTTGGAAATTAATATTTAATTGACGAAACTACCTCTTTAATCATTAAAGACTATTAGAAAATATGGTTTGAATTTGTGAAATGTACTATTGTTATACAGGTTCTCACTCATTGCAATGTGGCGTTTTTAGTTGGGTTTTAAATTTTTAAACAATAATGTCGGCGAATATAATGAACTACATAYTTCACAATATCCAGCGAATTAGTTAATTAAGTAAGATGAGTGAGCACAATATGGGCCAACATAGTACAGCCTCTAAAATTTTCTTTAAAGAACCTTGTATTTTGATATCAATCCTAGCTAGCTCCGTTCCGAATATAAAATAAAATATATTTTAAGAACATTTAAATAATGTTTACGAAGAAAAATTGTAAACAATCTATAGGTATAAGGTACTTAACCAGCAACACCTAAAATGATTTTTTTTCYCTCCCAACATATCGGCAGGGATTGGCCGTGAAAATGACGGGAAACACGCGTCAGACCATCTGGCATCTTGCATATATTTGCTTCAATATTTTATTTTACCGACACGATGAACATAATAATACATATACGATATACTATTATAATTATGATACTGCGCAATATCTGCTTAACAATAGTATAACATGACTAATAATGTGTAGTTATCGCACGTACAACTGATCCACAGACGTGTATTATTCGCAATATACGTGGTAGGTACAGTAAGTTCGTACGCGGTACATACGCGTGAAATATGACGTATTCGTGGTATATCGTGCGTTATCGACACGTCTTATCGTGCTAGGGATAAGTGTAGTGTACGTGGGCTTAAGTGTATAGGAACATTAGGAACTACCAATTGCACTGCAGTATGTAGGTACGATATTATTTAGCTATAATATTGTAATAGATCACTCACAATAACAATGATTAACAATCATATTATAAGTAGTTAAAGAAATAATGACTGACCACTAATCAACTATAACGGCAATTATTATGGTCAATATAGGTACGACACTATTAGGTATTAAGGGATTGTTGTTTATTTTCTTACTTTTAAGCAGATAATTTTCAACGTTATAATAAATTTTACATTTTTTAAGTATTCGTAAATATACCTACCTAAGCTAGTACCAATCTAGTTGATATAACAAAATAATGGTTTTATAATATCATGTATTAATTTTTCATAAGTACGATATAATGATAATGGTTATACTGAAATGCGTGCGAAAACCTTAGAATGAGATTAACAACAAACAGTATTTAGTAACATTATAAAACCGTGTAAACCAACAACTATCATTTCCGCTTACTCTAAGGGATGAACCCATGCACCCAGGGAATAGTCGAAGAGATCGATAGGGTTGCGGGATCGAGGGGATGCGTATTCACCTCCCCTTACTCATGTTTTTTTATTTAAAGATACTACATTCGTTTACTCACGAAATTTAATGTATTGTGAAGCTTATACTTATAGGTAGTTTTAATATTCTTATATATCTATTATGTATATTTAAAAATTTACATTACCTATTCAATTGTATTTATTCTTATATTTTTTATTTATCTCTTCAAATGAGCATTCTACGTGAGATAAGGTTTAGGTTGTTAACAGTAAAACATTTTTAATTGTGCAAAGAATCAAAATATTGYTAATTTTTATTCAATATGTGTATATAAGTTAAAAAATAAAATACCTAGTTTCTCTTTGTTACATGAGTGTTTATGTAGGTGTTCTGTGCAGGTCAAACAAGCCCTTGCAAAGATAAATTAAAATGAAGTAGACATGGATAGTAATATAGTATGAAATGCAATTGATGATTTTTTGCGGATATAGGGTATAAAACTGAGAACATGGAAGATTAGACTCGAGGTCGTCGAGTAAGTACAAAAAGCCATGTAGTGTGTGCAAGTATAGAAGTGAAATCAAAGARTCAATGGCACATTTAGGTGAATACTCTTGTAAAGTATTGAATCCAGCGGATATAGTCTGAGTTTGGAGAAGAGGAGCTATAAATACAATCGGGTCGATCGAGGGTTAATACACTATAAATACATCTCAATAACATATTATAACGTAAGTCTTAGTTCACCCTGCAAGTATTTGGAAAGTCCTTGTCTCTTCTTTTCGGTATATGTACAGTCGTGTGTTGGAATAGTCTTCCGATTGACCTACGATTTTTGGTATTTCTTTTATTTTCATTAGCGAATTTTCAATTCAAGAATTGTGTATTCAATACATTATTATGCTGTGGTTCCGGAATAGATTTTATCCGATAATGTTATTATGACAATAGAATTCGTAAATTTACGGTCAAGGCACAATAATAATATAAGGACTGTCTGGCTCAATCACTGCGGTCTAACTTAGCAGGGTGCCAAATATTATGATACGACTATTGAAAATGACCCGGGGGTTGGATAACATTATATACGTGTATCGTATAATGCCAATAATATATATCACATTATTATTTGTTATGTGTTCAGGCGGCGTACATGATCGTAGACGAAATGCACGARGAGCACCCGGAACTGCTGAAAGACCAGTACTGGGACGAGGTGGTGCCCAAAGACTTACCATACACAGTGGCTTCAGAACACTACAGGCGCGAGGAGCCCAAGGGGTCAGCTGAGTGCTATAAGGTCAAGGAGTCAGATTCGTTGTATGCAAACATGGCACCGATGCATCACATGCATAGGAAGACCGCAGTGCCCGAGGACGTTTACGCAGACTACGTGAGTACAATATATCATGATAATAATTAGGGCCCGGAATTGTATGCGTTTGCATATTTTTATTTATTAAATTAAAAAATGGTTAGGTAAGATACAAAGTTGAATCTTAACCTAATGTGTTGGTATGCAAAATTAAATGTTACATATTTTTGCATACTTGGTATATTTTTAATTTTTATGCATATTTTAGCATTTTTCTAAAATAAAATGCATATTTATGAAAAAATAGTMCCTATTATGTTATTAATACTAATACTTAATGCTATGTCATATGTAAAACCCATGGATCCGAAAAGAAAAAATTTGCCTGAAAATCGAAGTGCATTGTTATTTGAAAATATATCCAAGTCTTTACTAGTTAACTGTCCGTGTAATTTTGAAATATYATAAAAATATACTGAATTTGTTTTATTTGATTTTTGTTCATGAATTTTTATTTAGATGAGTAAATGTTCAAAATGCAACATACTTTAGAATATATCATACAAAATACAATTAAATTATATCAAATTGGCATTTAATACATTTTTTTGTTATTAATTATAAGTCAACCTTATTGATTATTTAATGAACTATATATACATCTTTAAATTAAATCAATTGAATTAAAATGCATTTTCGTTCACATATTTTTGCATATTTTAAGTGCATATAATTCCGGGCCTTAAATTAATAATATTATRCAGGTACCTAATATAATAATATAAATATATTATTATAGTATATTATTGTTTATATTTTGTAATTTGTAATAATTGTTGTCGTTTGTATAAATATTGGACTAGAGCGGACATCATAACCAGGTTRGGCTCCCCCCACTAATCAATCCCCTTTAGTCTTAATCGTCTTCTCCTACCTACCGTCGAACTGATGCGTATATACTTTTTGTAAGTCTGGTAGGTTGACCACATTATAGGCTATATAGCTATGGTTATCTGTCTGATAGTTGCTGCTCCTACTGCAGATGACTCAGCTGATGTCCCACGCGATCGCAATAATTGTTCCTACATGCGAATCACGTGTCACACCAAATCGTCGCGTGTTATAATCATTATTATTTTRCAAAAGTATTTGAAACGACGCGCAGTAGTGCTTCCTCATTCCTGCACAACGGATGATTTTATATGTTCAACGTAGGTAACAGTAAAACTTCCTAATCATCGCGCACACATTATTCACGATAATCGAAAACAAGTACTAACAACTAATCAAATATCTAAGAGGGTAAATTAAATATTTTTGAAAAAAAACAACGATATTAAAATATGCACCATAATATGCGTACTATACGTACCTACTAAAAACGTGTATCAAAACATTTGGGTGAATAAATTTAAAACAAAAAAAAATTACGATTTACAAAGTTTTGAATGTTGTTCATCATTCAGAGTTTTATTTCATAGAAATGTTCTGCGAATAATTGGGAATGAACATATTTTAATATCACCGATATTGTAAATGATAAGAATATAGACTATACGTATATGCAACTTCGAGTAACTATATCGAAATAATAATTTGCTACGTTAATTGATTTATCAGCTACAGTTACTCTTGCATCGATTATCGGATTCTAGGTTCCAGAATCCGTARACATCCGAAGACTTATCTGCAMTTTATCARACATTTGACAAGTACTTTAAATATACTTTAAAAATAATATGTATTAACGAATAATATTAAAAAAATATTTTTATTAATTAACCCACGGCAACATAGACTATTTGGTGTGAGGAGGGTACTGTATAGGTTTTTTCAGGTTGGGTAGGTTTGGTAAACGTGTGTGGTAATGGTTTTTGGCAGAATTTTGAATTGGGTACCCATAAGTTTCTGACATACCCGGTTGGGGGATGGTGGTCACTCTCTCCAGGCAGTCGCCTGTCCAGAGACGGGTGCCGCCATTGGGATTCGAATCGAAGCCGTAATCCACTCGACCACTCCGTTTCCCAATATTTAAAATTGTAAGAATACTTAAAAATACATTTTAGKTATCCATGAATAATATTATCAAGATATTTTCAAGATATTCTTTACTGCGTTGAATTGCAATTGAAACTGCTACAATATAGTGTAGAACCCTCTGCATTATAAGGCCAAAGCAAAGTAGTGGTGAATTGCGTGCTCCGTTTATTTTTTGAGAGARATTGCCACTGTGTTCTAGCCGTTCTAGTACCTATATTTATTTTTGAAAAAAACTAAAGCATATTTCAAACCACGGTTCTTATTTTGAATAATATAACAGTCCCTGCGAGAGTTGTAGAAGTAATATTCTAATAGTTGTGTACATCCCTCAGTGCTATTCGGTAAGTCGACTGTTCCGTGGGCTTGCAGCGTTGAGATTAATGAACCCGGACGGGTAGTAAATATACCTATACTATATTACMAACTATAAATTATAATTTATTGTGTCCGCAGTGTTTATATTTTGGTTTAGATATTTTTTCCGTATACATATGTAGACGGTATGTGTAGGTACCYATACCTATATTCGATTGAAGGTCAAGCAGTCGTGTAGGAATGCATACCGCGGAGTCCCATGCGCACTGCATGCCACAGGTGGYGGTAGTATAATAGTAGTATTGTAGCACAGTATTGTATAGTTATAGCAATAATGATAATAATAATAGGTACGTATGATTACAGCACTGCACTCGACTGGGTAGGTCCGATTATTATTATTTGGGTTTGCTGTATGTATAGGTTAGTACTCGCATATGTCTTTGATATAATATAAGTATACCCTTCAAACTATCGTCTAGCTCTAGCTCATCGACCACGTCTGATTAATCTAAAAATTCGTACACCACTATTGAGAATCCAAATATTTATTCTTTATTTTATATCATCAATTTATCTTCAAAATTAAAATATTATGTTCATGATACGAAATAGTTTTTAGTAGAATATATTCTTGTATTAAATTAGTACCTAACACAACGTAAAGGAAATACGATACTTTTTCGTGGTTTGTTTTTTTTTTTTTATCATTGTTTTGACGTCAATGCGAATTTAATTCATAAATCGAAGCGTTTTCTAATTATGATTGCGCCTATTGCGTACGCGTAATCGCAATAAAATCGTTTTAAAATCCTCTACTCCTCTAATGAAATAGTATAATAACCGATAGTTATAATTATAATGATTTGAGTACAATGTGTACATGCAACATGCATACCAAGATATAAAGTACATGGGTGGCTTTTGAGAAAGCAGAACATGCTCTCATCAGTATGTATGTATACTTTCGTTTATGTTTTTGAAATATTTATAATATGAATGTAATCATCGAGTGTATGAAATATTACAATATATATTATTGTAACGTTGTGATATTTTGAGCGCTTATCTCATATATAATATCTAACGTGATTAATTTCTATTGGAAAACAATTCATTTGAATTTACTATACAATAAAAAGTATAATTTTATCGTCATTCATCGTACGTTATAGGTTGTATATTAAACGATTCTATTTATTTACAAAACCATTACAATTATTTAAGATACCTTTAATATATTGGTAGATGGAAGGATGTTCTGCTGTGTCACCGATAGCCACGTAACATATGTACAGGTAGTATTATACATATAGTGAATCCTTACTAAAAAATATTTATTCCACATATTATATTGAAATGATCGAATAGTTATGATTAGGTTATGTTATATAYTGTAAAAATAGGTTATAAACTGAAAAAAATAAAAGATATTAAGTAGGAGACAAGTATAAATTATGTATATTCAAATTTTTTCTGTTTTTAATTTTACTAATATCAATTATCTAAATACATTTGCGACTTTCATCTGGATTGGAGATAAG